TGGTCAATAGAAATTCTAGCTGCTGTGTGACTAATCAACTCTACGTGGCTAACGTTTGCATATCTTGATGCATTTAAGAGGACAAATAGGACCTAAACATGGATGCTGTTGAGGGCAAGTGAAAGGCTACTAGATACTGGCACTTCTTTTTATATCGACACTCAAGATGTCGCATATTTCTCTTCCAGGGCCACTAATTTTGGACAATCTCGTGGTTGCTTGACGCCTACATGCATTGATTGCTAGGGTTGATATCCACAATGAAGTAGCAAGTTGTGCAACTATTGCCTCCATTGACCATGGATATATGCGGAGAAGGGGCGTAAAGTCGAGTGTTTCGTCTGGCTGGATGAATAAACAGTTTGTTTGCACTGGCTTATTGCTGTTATTCTCCAAAGTATGTTGTGAGAGGGCTTGACATGCTTTTCTTTATAGAAGTCGGTCGCCCCGGACCCGAGTTGTTCAAATTTCGACCTCTTTGTGCATTTCGTCCGCGCTCGAGACGTACTGTAGCTATCTCCAAATTGTTCAACTCCTCCAGTCGTGCCAAATACTGCGGGGATGCGCTGATGACGGGGTCCGGAAATTTGTGACCTTTATTAGTACAAATCGAGAGATCAAAAGCTTAGAAATGCATAAAAGAGATTACCAAGTCGTTAAGCATTTACGTAAACTTAGAACGTAAAACCATGAACGAGAACATAGTATCACTCATTCCTTTTTTACTATTCCGATGGCCGAATACTCCCGACAAAGGTTTTTTCGAAACTCTAAGGCGATTTGTTTCAAGCTTGAATGAGCGCTATACATCGGTTGGCCTTTGAGATCCTGATCTACCGATTTGAATCAAGAAGAAAGTGCATGGCCATACTAGAATTACACTGTGATTCGTGTATTTTAGTCTATGAATTGAACTTTGGCATTTACTACAGAACCTTGGTTTTGATTTATAGAAATGGATTGACCTCGGCTTCGTACACAATTCCGCATGGAATTATGACAACTATGGCAGAGGACTTCGGATAAGGTGCGTTCTACCAAATCCCCCTGACAACAAGACCAAAGCGAGGCCAACCCACTTTTATAAATCGAAAGAAGATTGCGACCATACCGGTGGCCACACCATCTTGGTCTTCATATCTTTGTTTTGATTGTTCACGCTTTTCTAAAGAGATAACCTTAATGAGGAAAAAATGCAGGCCTAAATAAAATTAACTTAATTAAAACGACATTGTATTAATGCTTACCTTATCATGTATATACATGGCGCAATGGATAACTATTGATTTATACGGAAACGATTATTTAAAAAATAGATTTGCTGATATCGGATTTTGATAGGAATTCATTGTAAGTTTGCTACGTAATTTAAAAGTTTCCTTATCAAAAGATGTAATATTGTATTCGATCCGCCGTACCGGTGTGGTGGCGATTTTTGATGGCCTGAAGTGTACGCCGAAAAAATTTTAATTTCGTTTAAAACAGCTAGTTTTAATTCTCTTCAAGTTTTAGGAGGTATAGTTGACGCTCCGACGATGTCTGAGGCATGACAAACATAAGCTTGGTGAGGTTTTGTCACGACGGTGCGTCGAGGGCTTATTTACACAAATCTACAGCTACAACTTTGAGATGATTTTCTTTGGATTTCAGTAAGGCTAATTTAAGGATCCCTTTTACTCGCTGTTTCAAACAAAAGAAAGGATATAGTGGCATTATACTACTTTCGGCTGTAAATGCATCATCTGCGCCCGATTAGGTCTGATCTAAACCACAAACTATGCAATCCTGATAGAATCGATAAAATTCAGTTTTCTACAGACCAACGCACGACTACCAGAATCTGGGCTATATGACGAAGGGGCAACCAGATCAATCATTATAACATGCCATGGAAGATAAGTAGTAGGAGATATATGAATGTCAGAAGGACCTGGTTCAAAAAGATGATCTAATTTCAATAAACGAAGATTCATTTTTGAGCTTCCCTTAAACACTGGGGGTCTGCGTTCCATTTGACAGTCGAGTAAAGCTAACTAGGACATGCCAGTTTCCCGAATATAAAAAGGGTATATAAGCTTAATCCGTCATGATTTCTGCTATCAAAAGGGCAATGATATCTTGGAGTACGCTAACGATTTTGAACTTGTATGTCAGTAATGGTGCGCTTCGTAAGTCCACTCTTTCTGGTTTTAGAACTCGAATATCTTCACCCAACACTTTTACTCGAAATGGAAGTAAGCTCAACAATTATGAAACAAGAGATGCCTCGAAACCCAACTTTACTTCGCAACTATATAAAATCGTGTGTTTATAATAAACTCGACACATTAATGATTTTAAAAATTCTAAGTTGTTATCGAGGTGCACCATTTTTTGAATAGTTTTATTTCAATATCAACGATTCTCTCCATGTTAAATTGAAAAGAATATACGATCTTTACATTTAGTTGAGAGCAAAAAGATTCACAATCAACTCGTTCAAGACATTGTAAGCAAGCCATTTAACGAACATAAATAGACTGAATAGGTAGCATGCGTTCGGAAGGAATGAAGATTCGGATTAAGAACACTAAACTATTCAGTTTTGGAGAATCCTTCATTATTTAACTTTCAACTTCGTGTAAAAAGTTTGAAGAAACTCGTAGTTTGGAATACTTGGAGAATAAAAGAAAGTGTAAGAACATTATTCATATTAGAAGTGGTTTGACCTCGTTTTCGCAATTTTATTATGTTGATACTGATAAACGCATCTTGGCCAAAGTCTTTCGCCATTGTAGTCAAGATATAGGAGTCCACGATGCGACGCCGGAAATTAGAATGGCTACTATCGCAGAGGACTGCAGACTAGCTGTATTCATCTAGGTCCATTTGACAACACGATAAAGTTGCGATAGGAAGGCTAAACCACTTCTCTATGGCAAAAGGAGACTGTGACCAAAATAGAGGCTGCACCATCTGTGATTATTACTTGCAGCGCGCTTAAGTTAGCTTAAGGACAGATAGTGAAATCTCTCCCGAAGAATTTAGTGTTTTCCCTGAACCCAATGAATTTCACTTAGCCTTGCCACATAAATGGCTTTCTTTTCCAGTATGGTCTGCAGTTATGACCTCGCCTAGGCTGCATTAGCACCTACACGGAAATTCAAGTCCAAATCGTGAGCATTGTGGCGAAATACTACTACTCCCCGGCAAAAAATTCTGTAGAGACTTTCATTTCGTATGAAGCAAGTGCATAATACACGAATGAGTCCCAGCTCTGATGATGTTCGTCATACTCCGCAGCAATGACGACAGATGCTAATTGGTAATTAGCCAGATGTGACTTTTAAGGCAAGCCATATGAAATGAAAGTCTTCACATCAATCTTATATCAGAAGATTATTCGAAACCCGCATTTTCTTCAATATATATTCACATAGAAAATAAGTAAAGTTGTAGGCTGAAATAGCAAATATATCTTTGTCTCACTTTTAATGCTGCGAGTTGGAAGAGGCCTGGCTTGCCCTAAAGGTCCCATTTTCCCTGTGACCCACTGAAGCCAATGGCTAATTATTCGAATTGTCACATGGGTCCACAATACTCCCAACCAGCTTCATAATCTCGTTGGGGATGCTGATGGAACCCTGGTGAGGTGAGATCCTCAGCCAATTTGGCGTAAAAATACCTTTTGGCAGGCAAGGCTAAGTTAAATTTGATAGACTACTCATATCAGTGTGAGAAAATTCCACCATCCGTCCTTTGTTCACCTTAGGCGACCTAGGATAACTAAAATACCTATTCAAGAATTACTAATAGCTTCGAAATAGAAAGAAGAAATATTACCTATGAGTCGTGGCTAAGCTTCGTCATTCATATGATATGCATCCTAGATTAAGCCCCAAAAAGAACAAGTAAACAGTGTGAATGGCCGTTATACACAAATCCTCGCATAACCTTGATCTTCCTTTCAGGAGGGTTAAGTAAGGCATAAGAGGTTTAATAAAGCTCCCACAGAATTTATCTTTCATTCGAGTTATTATTGGAGGGAGATATGCAGTAAGAGCTCTAAACTTTTAATTCAATCATGCATAAAATATATTGAGTGAAATAATCATGACACTTCAGGAATGAACGAGAGAAAGGAGGAAGAAGACTTCGAGCTCTAATTGTAATGATATGTTTAAATGCCTTGTAAGACGAAAACAGAGATAGGAGCGACAGTTTGATCTGGCTGCCATCTAAAGCACTGATGGATGACTCGACTGGGTGTAATGTTGTATTATGAGATATATTCACCCTATTTCGTTTAAGTTGATGAAGGACTTGTGGTAGAATTTTCCCACAATGATATGAATAGAGCTGACGCTTCCATTGAATTCCACATTGCCTTGCTTTCCCAAAAGTTGTTCTCATCCCGGCTCGAGTGGACTGCAGTTTCGACCTCGCATCGGTCTTATCAAC